TGTCTCCCTCCCGGACAAATGCTGATGAAAACTGACGCTCCTCTTGATTCGTGAAAGGTTATCCAACTCTGCCCACAGAAAGCAAAAACAATACCTGATTAATGTGGCCACTATGCATTTCACGGTCATCTCCTTCTGCACTTCTGGACACTTCCACACTGGTTCTACCTTTAAATTACTCCCATCAAAATAATGGTTTTATTTTGGGGAAGAAGTTGAATTTTCAGGGAACCAAATCTGGAGAACAGAGCTGAGAGCAAACAATAACTCTTATCCTATCCCTCCTGTTGCGTTTACCTCCCGCCTCTTTACTTTAGTGTACCTTGGGTCTGTTTTAACAGCTCTTAAATTAGCATAACAAACATTTTTCACCACCAAATTCAGTTCAGTCGGTTGGTCAGTGAGTGAGTGGATTCCCATTCATTTCCTATGGCGGACACTTTTGAACAGGAACACCACACATGTCACAAGGTTGATTAAAACACTCACAATTCAACAAATTCATCACTTTTATATGTTCAAGTGCATAGTGTGGAGGACATGCTAAGACCTTGAGGCAATCAGATGTGAAACACAATATTTATGAGTGTTTTAAGTTGTAAATCAGTCAGATTTGACCCGAACGCGACAGGAAGCTTAAATGAGCTGAAAGTGCACAGTGGCACAGATTAGGTGGTTTCTGCTGAATGTTCTCATTCAAATGCCTTTAGATAATTACAGCAGAGCAACGTTCATGTTTGTTCTTGGCACAAGTTTGAGGGTCATGCTGATCTAAAAGTTGCAGCAGAGCTTATTAATATGTATGTTGTAAACAAGTGATACCAGGAGAGCACAAATATAAAAACAATGGGGGTTAAAGAAATGTATTTTATTATTTAATGTTTTATAATTTTTTGCAGACACTGCTGAGCGACATAAAAATGAAACTTGAAAATGTGACGAAGCTAGAAAATGAAACCAAAGCTCTGGACAGCTTGAGGAAACAGATGGAGGAGCACAACAAGGAGCTGGAGGAAACTATGGAAGAGGTAACACAATGTGTGAAAAATGTCTGAACAAATATGAGATGTTTTATTTTTTAGTTACAAAACTTTGAAAGATACTGCACTTTGGATGAAGTTTCATGATCTTGAAAGAGAAACTAATCGATCAAAGATTCATGAGTGGGAGATCTTTGTGATTTTCTGTCAGGTCCAAAATCTTTGCTCAGTACCTGATGTACTCGTTGGTTTTTCTTCCCTGTGACTTCCTCCACCTCCTGAAAGGGAAAATAAGATGACACAACGGAAGAGATCCAAAATACATGACAGAGCCATAGAGGATAACAAGATTTCCAGGGATCAACCTAAAAAACAGTCATGCTTATTTTAGTTTGGTTTTTGTGCTCCTTTGTGGGATCAATCTTAAACAAGAATGACCAAATTTAAATTAAGTTAGGTTTCTGAGGCTCCCAGGGCCATTTCTGGAAGTTCTTGATCACTTCTTTGACATTTTCATCACTGCAGTTTCCACTGGAGTCAGACCTCAAGACCCATTCATTTAACTGTGGAACAATTCCAATCCATTGACCTTTGTCTGTGTGTTTCAGGTGTTTCAGGGTTCAGACGAGCAGCTACAGCATACTTACGATAACCACCAGAGGACAGTGATGGAGAAGGAGCAGAAGCTGCAACAGCACCAGGAGGAGCTGCAGACCTTTGACCAAGAATACCAGAGACTGACCAGAGAAACGAATGATCTGCTGGTAGAAAAAGGTTCACTCACCTGCATATACCAGAGTAGCTCCTGACATTTTCCTCCACACCTGAGTATGAAAAGTAGGAGTGGGTTTTGATTATCAATTTTCCGATTAAAATCAATTCTAGCTTGAATAACGCGATGTCGATTCATTAAAATCCTGAATCAATTTTTATATATACATTTATTTTGCCCGAACCACTAAAACAGTAAATGAGAGCAGATACACGGATTCTGCACAAAGATGTAAACACAAAGCGTGGACCCGCCGACGCTTCAGAATCTGTGAGATGTCGGCTTTCTCACTGACGGCACGTACACGGACACGCCATTGGATGAGAAAGCTGACATCTCACAGATTCTGATGCGTTGGCGGGTCCACGCTTTGTGTTTCCGTCTTTTTTTTTTGCGCTTGATTATGAAGCTGCAGGTTTTGTCTCTCTCCAACCAAATTTGACTGAACCAGCAGCAAAAGATCCAAACTATGCTTCACATTTCGCTTTACATAAACATCATCATGAATTCCCTCTTGCTGTTTTGCTTCCATCACGGTAAAATTACACTTCATGCACAGCTCTCTCTCTCTCTCAGGTATAGTTTCCCATCTAAAAATCTCTGTTTTCTGGTCTCATAGCTGCTGATTCTTGTCTGTGTACAATATTTACCATACTGCATGAAAAACTCTGTAGTGGGTCAGTTTAAGCAAAAGGTTTCCACTGAAATTGAGCCTTTACGATGTTAACCATGAACTAATCATGAACTGGTGAAGAGCCCTGACAGCAAACATCTCCCAACACTTACATCACAAACGTGTGATTGGTCAGTAATGATGGTCCTGGAACAACACTGATAAGAAACAACATCAGCACAGTCCTATCAGATCATGTACTTATCACCATATGTGTAACGAGTCATTCGTTAAGTCGTGTCTTGTTGTTGTGACATGTTTTCACAGTAAATATATCGCTCAGTACACTGACAGAATAAAAAATACTAGAAGTAGAATAATGCACAGGGTGGATGCTGTGTTTCCTCAGTACAGAATTAGCAACATTTTTTTTCCCACAGTTCGTCTACAACATGAAGCTGAACGTCACACTAAGAACACCGAGGACCGCGACAGCCTGGTAAGAAGAAAGAAAACCTCTTCTTTCTTAACTTGTTTGTTTCTGTCAGGATAAAGCAGACATCGAGCTGTTTCTGTGGAGTCTGTAAATACACTAAGGTGGACTTAATCACTCAGAGCCAGCAGTGACATTAAATATGCATGTGGATTAATACAAGTACACAATGACTCTTTTATTTATTCACATGTCATCTGTGTCACAGATCCACTCTTTGTCATCCTGTCTGGAGATGGAGGGTTACGACCAGCTGCCCTTTACCGTTTCTCAACTCGAGAGCTTTTACCATCAAGTCACACACAGGCTGGAGCAGGAAAAGGAGAGAGTCAGTCAGCTCTTGGTAAGAAATGCTCTGTCACTCTCAGTTTTTGTCAGTACTTGTGTGTAATTTTTCACAGATAAAATAATGTCCAACCAGTCATGGCATATTGCTGCCCCTCCCTGAGCCTGGTTCTTCAGCAGATTTCTTCCTGTTATAAAGGAGTTTTTCCTTCCCGCTGTCACCAATGTGTTTGCTCATAGGGGAATCATCCGATCTGTCGGAGTTTTCTCTGGTTCTCGGTATTATTGTAAGGTCTTTACCTTACATTATAAACTGCCTTGAGATAACTGTTTTTGTGATCTGGTGTGATAAAAATGAAATTTAACTGAAAACAGAATTCCAAGATAAAATACACGTTAGCTAGAGATGCCTACAAAAAAAGTCATCTGAACAATCATATATGAGATATTTGTGCTCTTCACTTCTCTTCTTCCTCCTCTTAATATTTGGTTCGATCAGGCAGAGCTGCAGAAACTGGAGCAGCAGAAGCAGCAGTCTGTTGATGAAATGAGGGACAGGAAGACGTACATGGAGAGAACGGTAGAGATGAAAAGAGACGAGCGGCAAAAGAAGCAGCAAGAGCTGAAAAACATCACAGAAGAGCTGCAACGACTGCAGGATTCATGTAGTCGACTGCAAGAGCTGGAAAATAAACTGGCTGAAGTGGTGAGAATGCACACACACACGGATCATGATGTTTTTGAGGTTGTGAAATCATCACAGGTGGATTTCTTTGATATTCTCTTTTTCTGGATCAGAGACTGGATATATCATGTGTGTCTCTTACACTACATTGATCCTACTCTTTTACAGCTTGATGTATTTAACCACTGACTCTGTTACAGCTGCTTTGTATGAATCACAGTTCAAAAGC